ACTACCTACTAACAATTGCTGACTCAGCTGACTAACGGCTAACAACATGCATGCATACATATACATACATCGTATAAACCCCTAATATTCCCCCTACATCTTCACCTTCCTTATTTCATCGTAGTACAAGACATACTTTGTCTTGAAACTCCTTAAATGCTTCTTTTGACATCGGTTTAGTGAGGCCATCTGCCACTTGGTGTGCAGCATGTATGTAGTTTACACAAATATGCCCAGCATCAACCTTTTCCCTTACAAAATACACATCCAATTCAACATGCTTGGACTTTGCGTGGTAAATTGGATTGGCACTCATGGCCACTACGCTTGTGTTGTTACACCAAATTACTGACTTTCCTTGTTGTTGAACACCAAGATCAGCTAACAAAGTGTTGATCCATGTGACTTCAGCTGCAGCATCAACAACACTCTTGTATTTAGTCTCCATGGTTGATCTCGACACCGACCGTTGCTTCTTAGAACTCCAAGCAACAAGGCACTTGCCTATGAACACTCCATAGCCCGATACTGACCTTCGATAATCCAAATTGGCACCCTAGTCTGCATCAGCAAAGGTTGAGACCAAAGCTTTGTTGTCAATTGGTGAAAATAGCAATCCATAGTTTACCGTACTTGCCAGGTACCTAAGGATTCTCTTTACAACAGCAAGATGTGTCACTCGGGGTGCATGCATGAATTGGGTAACTTTACCTACACTTAACCACAAGTCAGGTCGAGTGTGAAAAAGGTAGAGAAGTGATCCAACAATGCTTCTGTACTCAGTTGCATCCTCTAACAGCTCTCCTTCTTCGCGAAACAATTTGCACGCTAAGGTCATGGGTGTCGAACACATAGCAATTGTTTTCATACCAGCCTTTTCTAGCAACTCTAAGGCAAACTTCTTTTGGCTAAGGACAAGTGACCTGCTGCATCTTAAAACTTCAATTCCTAAGAACTAACTTAGCGCTCCCAAATCTTTAAGAGAGAACTTCCCTTGTAGCATGTCAACAATCGCTTTAATGCCATGACAGGACCCTCCCGTGATCAGTATGTCATCCACGTACACTAATAGATACACTCGACCACTTCCACTGTCTTTAAAGAATAGGGATGGATATGCTCGGGAGACTTGAAAACTTATTTCCAACAAGGCTTCCTTCAGCTTGGAGTGCCAATTTTGGGGTGCTTGTTTTAGGCCGTACAATGCCTTTTATAATTTACAAACCAAGGTCGAGCCATCATCAGCTAACTGCTCGAATCTTGGGGATTGCTGCATGAAGACATCCTCTTTAAGATCACCATTAAGGAATGCATTATTTATATCTATATGCCTCAACTCCCATGTATTAGAAACTGCCAATGTAAGGATGACATTAACTGTGGATAACCTGACCACTGGGCTAAAAGTTTCACAAAAGTCGTGACCAGGTACTTGAGTAAAGCCCTTGGCCACTAATTGGGCCTTGTATCGATTAATGGAGTCGTCGGGGTTCCGTTTTACCTTAAAAAGCCATTTGCAGCCAATTGTTGTTCTCCCAGGTGGTAGTTTAACTAGAGACCATGTCTCATTCCTTTGGAAAGCCTCAATTTCCACTTGAACAACACACTCCCATTCTGATGATTGAAGTGCCTCTTGAATACTTGTGGGAACTGCATCATCAAAATGACTAGAGAAAGCTTTTGGTTTAAAGATTTCGTACTTGCTCCTTGTTAGCATAGGATGTGCATTTTGTATTTGTCGTGGTGTAGAGTGTTCTACAATTTCTTATCTACCACCACTAGTGTCATCATGAGTTCCCAAGCCTATAACAGTGTCTGCCTTACCAGCATGCTCTTCCTCACTGTTTAGCTGTACCGAATGCTGATTAGGTTGACTTGAATGCGAATCACTGTGGCCATTGTTACTAACATGTTGTTCAAGGTTGTTTTGCACATGCAGGTTAAGTTCATCATGTGTATTTCTACTATCTTCTTATGTTTGAGATTCACCACTCAACGATTCATGCAGGCTTTGATTATTGTCACCTTGTATGTTCACCAGCTGTTTAACATTCGACACAATTTCGAGTTCCTGAGGGTAGTATGAGTATTGACCAGTAGAGTTCGAGTCATTGAGCCTTTCTTTAAAAGGAAAGTGCCATTCATTGAACACCACGTGCCTGGAGATATAAACTCGCCCATCCCGAGCTAAGCACTGAAAGCCTTTGTGTTGAAACCCAAGTACATGCATGGCTGAGATCGAAAGTTTAGTTTGTTCCTTTGGAACGGTCACAGGTGGGGAAAGCAAAGGCATCCTAAGACTTTGAGCAACTTATAGTCTGGTTGATTGCCATAGTGTTTTTCAAAGGGAGAAATTCCCTGCAACACCTTTGTTGGGAGCTTGTTCATGAGACCAACCACCGTGATAATGGCATAAGACCAGAATGTTACAGGCATCGAGGCTTGAGATAGTAGAAACAATGCCAATTCAACAAGATGGAGGTGCCTTCTTTCAACCTTGCCGTTTTGCTTAGATGTATGTGGGCAGGTTAATCTGTGAGTAATACCAGCCTTGGCCAGGATGTCAGCAAAAGGTTAAAATTCCCCACCCCAGTCACTTTGGACTGCCTTGATGGTCATTCCAAATTGTGTACGCACCATTTTCTGAAATAGTTGAAAGGCCATAGTTGCTTCAGACTTTGTACGAAGCAAATAAAGCCATGTATGGCGTGTAAAGGCATCAACAAAGGATATGTAATATCGAAAACCGTTTGAAGCAAGATGGGGAGGCCCCCAGAAATCAGTGTGAACAAGCTGAAATGGGGAATTGTATTCTGTATTAGATTGAATAAACGGTTGTTTGTGACTCTTGCCTACATGACAGGCAGAGAACACTTTGTTTACATCAAAGGAGAGCTTTACATCAATTAGCTTTGCTATTTTATTCAACTTGTCAAAGGAAGGATGGCTTAATCGCCTATGCCATAACTCATCATCTTGCAAAGGCTGTGAAGCTATATTAACATCTCCTTTTACTACTGCACAAGTTTTCTGAAAGGAGTACATGCCATCTATTTCTTCTCCACTCAACAATACTTGTTTAGTTGCTTCATTACGCACAAAACATTTCTTGGCATGGAACTCAAGGAAGACACATTTATCCCTAGCAAGCTTAGAGACAGAGATGAGGTTTTTGGTTATTTGAGGAACATGTAACAAATCATTTAGTAATAGCACACGGTAAGTAGAAGGAATAACAACTTTGCCAACCTTATCAATGTCAAGAGCTACTCCATTACCTACAGTAAGCTTACCTAGTCCAATGAAGTCAGTTTGGGTAACCATGTTGAATGCATCGGGGGTAACATGGTGAGTGGCCCCCGAGTCTACTACCCATCGATCAGCAACAACATTGACAACATTGGCATGTGGTTGAATTCTAGAATAGGGTGCACCCAAGCATCATTTAGAATAACATTCACAGTTTGAATTAACTTTCCCAGAGGCATAACGTACGTTCCCTGAGCCTTCTTTTATTGATCCATAACTGTCGGTTGTTACACAGGTAAACTCTTCATCATATCGATACCAGCATCGATCGACTAAGTGGCCAAGTTTTCCACAGAGTTGGCACTGCAACTTGGTTCGCCAATGCCCCCTGCCTTGATTTCTCACACCAGGTCCATTAGCAGGGCCATTTGGCTTGGAATCTTGATGATTAGTAGAACTGAAGGGCCCATGACTTATACTGCCCTGAGCTACATTCTCACTGGCAGGAAGTAACTCAACTTACTCATCAAACCCTGCCAATTGAGACTCGGCATCCATTAACATAGTGTAGATACTGTCAAGGGACAATGTTTCTTTCATGGTTGTTATAATGGCCATGAATGACTGGTATTCGCGTGACAAACCTTTTAAGATCGTAACGATGTGCTCTACATGAGAAATAGCACACCCACAAGAAGCAAGTGCATCACACACCTCTTTGACTCGTGTGAGGTATATGCGCATGCTGTCACCACCTTTCTTCAACGAGTCAAGTTTGTAATGGAGGTTCATTAATGCTGTTGTGGACCTGTTTGCAAAGAACTACAAATTAACCTTCTAAAACCATGCGGCCAAAATTAACCCTAGTGCCAAAATAAGCTGAAAGTTTAGAGTCATCTACATGGAAAACTATGGTTAATCTTTTGATTAATATTTTGGAATCTTAGACATTGTCAATTCATTCTTTTTAGGTATTATGCAAATAATAAGTTGTTGATTTGTCCTATACTTCATGAACCAACTACACCAACAACATCCAATTCATGGAATTCAAAGAACGATATATTACCGGTAACCAAATTTAAGACTTATAAGAGTCACGAAAAAACAAGTTAAACAAAGAACAACCATTGAACCCCACAAATTGTGTATCTAAACATATTGCACATCAATCAATGATCTTATAAAATTGTGTATCTAACCAAGTTTTATATGACATTAAAATAATTTATATTATATTATTGTCTGGACCTATTAAACAATTTAAGTGATTAATAAAAGTATTGTTTTTTTTCCTAGTAGTTTTAGGTTCAAAGAATTTCGTCTACATGATGTGTACCGAAAATATTGTCAATGATTAAATTTTTTTTTCAACATATATTATTATTAAATAATATCTTATAATCTTAAACTAAAAATAAATATACGAAAGCGTATATGAATTCTCAGTTTAATATTCCTAAACTACTAACTCTTTGAAGAAATAATCTAAGAAAATGTGAAATTCCCAGAGTTGATAGCTAACAAGGGCTCTAAACACATCATATTTGCATTTTATCAAACGTTAGGCAAAGCATTAACCATGCAAAACTAAACATTTTAATATATATATAACAATATTCATTCTAAAAATAATCAGAGCATATTTATGAAATAAAATAATTTATAATATAATTTAATTTCCAAAAATTTTAAAATGGTAACCAATAATTATTATACGAAAAGATTATTCTAAAAAAAAACCTAAAAGATTATTCTGAACTTTTTGTTCTCTTACCTTTGAAAAGTAAAACTTTCAAGAAAGAAAAACGTCAACGCGAATTCCGGAAGGTGAGGCAAAGCGGGCAGGCTTGGGCCACTCTATCACATTCTGTACACAAGCAAAGATGCCGGCAAGGCAGCAGCACCACTGACGCCACACGTATCCCACAGCCTTTACAAGGCGGTCCCGACGCAACCACCCGGTCGGGGTCCACGTATGCGGACTCGGCGTCCTCCGCCGTCCCTTCCACCCCACTCGCGCTGTTCATCCCCGCGTCCCTTATCCTGCTATCGTACTCCGCGGCGGCTCCTACGCTCATTATAGCCTGTTGAAGCTGCGCTTGTAAAGAAGCCGCCGACGCCTCCTGCGCCCTCGCTTTAGCCATCCAAACCTGCGCCTCCAGGCTAACTTGTGCGGCGTGTGCCTCCAACTCGGCGTTCCGACGGTTTACATTCTCCACTTCCTCTTCTTTCTCTCTCAATCTTCTCGCCATCGATTCCTCTGCCGCACCTAGTAGCGCACGGTAGTGCCTTTTCCTTTTCTCAGCTAACGAACACCGCAATTCCTGCCCCTATAACAAAAATGCTACATTTTCCTCAACCAAAAAAAAAAAAAGAAAGAGAGAAAAGAAAAATCGAAACGCAATTCTTGAAAGAGAGAACTTGGTACCTGGGCTTGAAGAAACTGGTCTAACTCTTCTCTCTGGCGTTTGATTTGGGGACCCAAATTATTAGAAAAAAGGACTGACGAGTTTGAAAGAGGACTTAATTGTTGTTGTTGAGGATCACCATGATTTTGGCTTTCTTGTTGATCGACGGAAGGTCTATCAACTGCGGCGGTTGCGTTTGCAAAGAGAATGAACTGATCGGCGTTGTTATTTCCGTCCCTGCCGCGAGTTCTCTGACTTTTTTCCTGGTATTAAGAAGATTGTTGCTTCCATTGTTGAGTAACATATGGGATTCTTCAAGAAAAACTCCTCCTGTTTGTTGCTGCAGTGAAAACTCTTGCCCCTATTGTGCACTTCTGAAAATATATACATAACCCATAATCAATAAGAGATGAAAAAAGATTAAAGAAAGAGATAAAAGAATGAACCTGTTTACGAGAAGGATATTGGAAGGGTATTGAGCTTGAACAGCCATTAATGGAAAAAAGGTAGCAAAATTTTGAAGAGAAAGCAGTAAATTTTGAAGAGAAAGCAGTAAATTTTGAAGAAGAAAGAAAATTAAGGAATGAAGAATTGATGAAAATAAGGAGAAGAAGCAGACATCATTGGAAGGGACGGGGAGATAAAAGAGATGGTACCGGAAATAATGAGTCAAAGAGAGAGAGGCCTTATAATGCTCTTTCTTTTCTATATTTTGGTGCGTTTGCTTCTTCTTCTTCTTCTTCGTCGCGTAGGGGTTGGTTTGTCTTCCTCGTGTTTGTTATTTAAAACCTCACACGCCCAATTTAACCCTCCTGAGTCCTGATCCCATCATTTTCTTTATTTCTTAATTAATCACCCATTAGTTTCTCTTTTCAATTAAAGGGTAAATTATTTAATCATCTTATTATTCATGTTGTTTTATTGTGATCACTCCATCTTTTTAAATCATCATTAATTATACGTTTGATTTTATTTTAATAATTTATTGTTAAAAAATTAACGATAATTATGATATGTTAAAATAATAAAATATCATATTATAATTAAAAATTATCATATTATAATTAAAAATTACCACTTCAACTGTTTTGTTTCATTCTAACAACTATCGATCAAAACGTAAAATTAATAATAATTTAAAAAATAATTTGACAACTAAAATAAAAATTAAAATAATAATTAAGTGGTTAAATATATAATTAAAAATTACCACTTCAACTGTTTTGTTTCATTCTAACAACTATCGATCAAAACGTAAAATTAATAATAATTTAAAAAATAATTTGATAACTAAAATAATAATTAAGTGGTTAAATATATAATTTATCCTTGGATAAAATATCTAATTTCTATAAATAATAGTAAATTGAAAGCTGGCGTAATACCTCTCTGCCCGCTAAGGCTTCCAATGGGATTGTTTTACATAGTTCATGCGTCTTTGTCCAGCCTTTTTCTTTAAAAAGAATAATTCAATTTATAATGGTAAATTTCACCCTGTTATCTGCCATAATTATTTCCTATCTGTTCTCCACAATTTAATTCCATAATTAAGTAAATATAATTTAAAAATTAAATTACATGTGACATTTTATTATGACGTGGCATAGAAGTTCTCCCCTCTTTACCATTCATTGATAAAATTCGTAGAATTTATATATAGAGAATTATTCATTACCCCATTTCATTTTCTACTAACTTTACCTCCAAATATTAATGATTCTTAAAAGCTATGTCAATTCATTATATATCTCTTCGAAGGTAGCTTTTTTTTATTGAACTTTTTCATGGGTTATTCCCATCTCATTTCACTAAATATTTTAAGCGTTGCATATTTTTTTTTTGAAAATGAAGATAATTAATGAGAGGTTTATTTTAATTTACAAAATTATATGTATAGATAGGAGTGTAAAATTTTACTCGACTAAAAAAATTATTCTTTCCAATTCAAATGGAATAGACATCGAGTTGTAATTCCATAAATTCGATTCGACTTGAAAAAATTTCAAATTTAAGTCAAGTTATAAAATAGAACTTAAATAACTCGAATATTAACTTGAATAACACAATTTTAGTAATTGGTGGATTGACTTTCAAGTTTGAATCGAGTCCCTCAACTATATATATATATTGCATATGATTATAGAAAACTATTTAAATTAGAATCAAATATTATCATAATATTACAAATATTTATAATTAAATTAAATACAAATTTGAATGACTCAGTTTAACTTGACTCGAATTTTATAAACTCGACTTGACTAAAAAAAATTAAATTCATTTTGAATTATAAAATATGACTCATCAACTTGAATAATTCATAATTTTTTGATTTGACTCGAATGAACGTTGACCCCTATGTATAAGCAATAATATGCCTTTGCCTTACTATTAATAAAGAGTACTAGGAATACAAAATGAAAGTTAAGAAAATGAAAATATAAGTCAATGCATAGAAAACTTTTATTAAAAATCTAAAAAGTATATATTTTTTATTAAACTTGTAACGATCTAATTTTCTGAGTCAATATTCAAGCGTTAACCCACAAATTTATTCAAGCAATAATATATTCATTATAGTACAGAGGTCAATCGATTCAAAATCAAGTTCATTCGGATAAGAAATTGACCTTATTGGAGATAAAAATCTAATTTTTAAGTTAGGGATGATATGAGAGAGACCCATAATGTAATTTTTTTATAGAAAAATATGGTTAATATGAGGATGCTTTTGAACCGATTTCATGAGACTTTTGGAAGGCTTTTATAGAACCTTTTTTATTCCCTCTTTTCAAAGGCTTTTTCATTCTTTTTATCTTCTTTCTTTCTTCTTTCTTCTCTCTTCATCCAAGCTAGAAAACTTAGATAAAATGCTTCATATTTCTTCATCATCAACACCCCATCCAAAAAACCAACGTAAAATTCATGATCCTTGGATCATAAGCTCCAAGATGACCTCACCATCTTCTTTAATGGCAACATTGAGTTCATTTGGTGGTTTGTGAGTTTAAACTCCAAAGGCTCTCTCACGGCTTCCATGTCACACCCCAAAATTAGGGCTAAAATTCTTCTTTTAATGGTAAGGGACCAATAGTATAAAGTTTGAACTTCAAATTGAAAAGAGATTATTGAAATAAAGGACTTATTGTGTAATTATACCATTTTTTATAAAAAGGATTTTAACCCCATTTTTTTGAAGTTTTCCTCTCTCTTTTACTTTTCAAAATTGGAATGTTTATGTTCCCTCGCCATTTTTTATTTCTTTTTCTCTCTCCCATGTTAAACTTTGAACATTTTTTCATCGCCATCCGAGTATCTGTTATCGACAACGCTGACACTATAGTGTTCCTAGAGTTGAGAGGAGTCGACAGGTGTTCTCAGTTTGGTCATCGACGTCGTTGTGTAGGGAAGTGAAGGGAAGGAAATTTTGTGTGTTCGTAAAATCATCCCTTCGTCGCTCCCCATCATGAAATAGCCTCGGTAAGTGACTCAAAATCATTAAAGTATGAATTTTACAAAATTTGGTGAAATTTTGACTACCGTCGTCGCTGCAGGCGTTATTCCCTACGCGTGGGCTTAGTCTACCACCAGGGGAATTTTTTCTGAACTGGTTTGACTGGTCTGAAGTGCTGAACCAAGCTGTTGACAGTTGATTGGTCGTTGACCGAGAGTTGACTTTTTTTGAAACCACTTATCCTGATATTTTTTAACGTCCTGAATCTATTTTTGGGCTTTGTTTTACAAAATTCGAACCTGGTAAATTATTTTTTAGTTTTTTTATCTTCTGATTCGATTTGATTTATGCGTTTAAATTTCGTTTCTAATGTAATTATTTCTTTCATGTATCCAAGATATTATGAGACATAAAGTTCAAGTTCAAGAGTGATTGAGTAGTGGTAAATGGCCGAACTATGTAACACAGAAAATGGAGGTAATATTTTACTATCATATGCGTACTTTACGATACATATTGATAATTGATCAAAACATGATTGAATATGATTTGGATATGGGTTATGGTTGATTATCCTAATCCTAATATGATTTCGATATAATGTTAGTAAACTGATTAAGACTCAAATAACCCATTTAAGGAACTAGAAGACTAGTATAAATCTTTAAGTGAGTGAAGTCAACCTCTGAACCATAAATTTTGATTTTTCCTATTAAGAGTCCGATTAACGTAAATATTTGGACAAGGAATAAAAAAATAGCCTTAATGTTTAAAAGAATGTAGATTGCGTCTAATAGGGGAATTAACCTAAGCATTAATATTCAATTAGATAGAACTATCAATTTACATGTTAATTCTTGATTCGTTTGGAAAATTTATGACAATTAGTTTCTAATATATGAAAAGGCGTATGATTTAAAATTTCTAATTTTTTAGTAAAACCTAAAGATTATTTTGCCGAAAGTACTCTATATGACTAAATTGATTAAAATGATCGAAATACCCTTGAGCTTTCAAATGAATGAAATAACCTCGAGCTTTAAAATGAATGAAATACCCTGAAGTCCTCAATTGACCTTAATACCCTCGTGAATTAGATTAATTGAATGCCTTTGGATAGGTTCTAAAATTTACTAGTGAAGCTTTAAACACTGTAACGACCATAAGTATTATATGGTACGACCCGAGTATGTCATTCCTTCCTAATACTCTTACAATACGAGAATAAGGATAAATATCAAATGAATACATTTTCATCTCCTTGGGATTCGTTTAAGAAAAAATTGTGAAGGTGAACTGTTTAACTTTATAGTGTGTTGGGATTTTTGGAAGCTCGTTTCGACAACCGGAATGGTTTGCAAAGAGGGGTCGGAACGGTTTTTGAGTTTAAGGAGTAAGGAGATTGAAAGATAGAAAATTGCATAGCGATTTAGAGTGGTTTGACTTTCTAAACCAAAGTCTACGTCCACTACCTTAGCTCCTCACCAAGGATTTTCCAACAAATTCACTAATTTGTTCTTTTTCTTGAGGATAAAGAGATAACCTTACAACTCCCTGGTTTTTCCGGGCTAAACTAGAACATTTCCCTAGCTTTTACACGGGATAAGCTAGAACATTTCCCCTTAACAAAAGGATAAAATAAGTAAACAAGAAAACCTCTCTAAGGTAGGTGTTTACAAGATTGAGCTCACAAGAACAAAATATTTACAAGAGAAAGTTGAAATAAGAATGAAAAACTCTTCTCTTGTGTTTGATTGCTTGGATAGTTGTTCTCATACTTCTTCAAGTGTCTTTAGCTTGTATTTATAGCTTGGA